GGATGCTGCCATGCACCAACTTGCTTGGCTGGTAAATAAAATTTTAAACCACCAATATGAAATTAGACTGATATGTAAAAGAACTATGTATCACAGACTTAGAAATGACAAAAAAAAAAACTTCCAAACATACAAAAAGTACAGACAGAAAGACTTCCTTGAAGCAGTATGGTCGACACTGAGGTCTTACGATGCCTAAATTTATTTTGATCAGGGAGTTGTGGCATGTGACACAACACAGGCAAAAAGACTTATATAAGCATACCCAGTTTAAGGTACGAATAGAGAAAACAAGCCAAGGTAATATGGAATGGAGACATTAATGGGACTAATACACAATGAGGTCAGAGAGATAGATAAGAGTCAGTTTATATAAGATCTTTTGTGTTCATTAAATAACTTGGCAATTTATCAAACTTTTTTCCTGTGTTGATTCTTCTTCATGCAATTTTAGGGAAACAGAGTGAGATATCTGTATATTTCCAAAGATCACTGAGGCTACAACACGAAGAGCTGACTAAAGGAAAGAAAGAATGACTACAGAGGAGCCATTGAGAAAGCAATGGCAGCAGTCCAGAGGAGCAACGGTTCGATTTGCACTGGCTGAAAAGGAGATGGTAGGGAGAAAGGAGAAATGCAGAGGAGGCATTCAATACTTAAGGGATAAAACTAGAACATCCTTACTCTACTTAAAACAGTACTAGGCTCTATTTCCAGCCAGGATACATTATTGTAAACAGACCTAGTTTGTTTATACTTTTTCCTGAATAAATCAACTATAATTCGTCTCTGAAAAGTATAGCGAGTGAGGAGGAGGAGGAAAGAGGAGGAAGAAATTTTAAATATGCAGTAAAAGTTTAGATTAGAAAGGGGAGTTACTTGATAGCTATGTAAGGCTAGTCTGCTAATAAACAGAGCTTAGCAAAGAAGCCATCAGTGAAACACATTCAACAGGTTCAAAGTTTCGTGAAGAGATAAAATCAAGAGAAAAAAAATCTGATCCAAACTGATAAAGTTAAGAAGACACTTATGGTAAAGGTAAGTTAAAATGAGAGCTAAAAATAAAACCACATAAGTGCCTGCTTAGGTAAGCACAGGGACCAGGGTTCAGTCTCTCCCTGGTCCGGCATGCCACTGGCCCTGGCCCAGGGTGTGCTGAGCTGGTGATTGAGTCTGGGCATGGTGGAGCACGCACTGGGGAGGCCCAAAAACAGGAGGATCACTACAAATTCGAGCTGTATAGTGAGACCCTGTACCAAATACATGGAAAAAAAAAAAGTAAAACTATAGGTATGAACTATCTTAGCAAATGAAATAAAGATAAAAGGCAGCTCATCTGTGTGCTATTGGCACTGCCAACTGGATTTTACTGGGCCATATAAATACTAGGTCTTCATTCTTAGCATACAGGTGAGAAATATGTTAAATTGATCAAAGAACAATTAGAGCAAAGAATCACTATTTATACCCTAAAAATTCAACAAGATTTTTTTAACACTGAGCTACAAAATCCAATTAGGAAGTGCAGGACTACTATACACAGTTGACTAGCTGTCCACTAAAATATTTGTTCCCAAGGGCTGGCCAAATATCTCAGCAGACAAAAGCGCCTGCTTAGACAGGTGCAGGGACTGGGGTTCTATCCCCAGCGTGCCATGCTGGATCCACCCCCAGGATACGTTGACACAGTGACTGAGACTGGGTATGGTGGTGTGCATAATTCTAGCACTTGGAGGCTGAAAACAGGAGGGTCACTATGAGTCCAATCTGTGTAGTGAGACCCTACAGTCCCTGTACTAAAATACATTTTAAAATAGTAATTAAAAATAAGATAAAATTTTTGTTCCTCTCCCATAGTAGAGTTGTTCCTGAAAACTAATGTCCAGGAAAACTACCTTTTTTCAGCTAAACTCTTCCCACCATTTCCTAGCACATGATAGTCAGTAGAAGGAAGTTAAGTTACTGCCAGATGACCAAAAAAAAAAAAACAAAAACCTCTCCTTGAATTCCTCAACCTACACCATCTCGCTTCACAATATCTAATCACTGTGATCTGCCTTCAGCAAGAATGCTTTTAGGTGGAGAGACCCAGAATCTTTCTTTATACTTTATATTTCCTCTTAGTATTTTCCTATCTACAGACCTCCACCTGCTTCTTGGCTATAAATTCCCATTCTTCTCTGTATTCTAAATTGAGTCCATTCACTCTCACTTATTATAAAATACTATAGAAGTGGTCCTTTCAATTTCCAAGATGGTCCTAAAAGAAAGTCTATCTTAACTTCTTTAATAAGTGTCATTAGATAGTTTAAAACAAAACAAAACAAAACATAGGTGAAGTTTTTAGGAAGCATGTATGAGTTTTGCATCTCTTATTATTTCAGCCAACTCCATGCAGAACCTGTAATGTCATATGGTGTAACAGAGACTAAAGATGGGCAAGGGTTGGACTTTAAATCATTGTGAGGAAAGACTACCTGTCAACCAAAACACCTGTACTCACTGCATGTATGTAAAACATAAACTTCTATGTGATAAGCTACTGAAATTCAGGCTTTTTTTTTTAAGTGCTTACCATTACTTTACCTAATATCCTCTTGGGCTCTACCTATAGAGGTTACGACAAGTTGAGCATCTCTAATTCAAAAACTGGAGTTCCAAAATGCTCAGAAATCTAGAAGCCTCTAAAATCTGAAATGTTCTGAGTGCCCAAACACTCCAAAATCTGAAATACTTCCGATCTCAAGATTTTGGTTAAGGAATATTCAACCGCTGTATTAACCATAATTTAAAAACTGTGAAAAACAGGAGAAACCAATCGAAAGCTGAGATACATAAGTGTATTTGTATAATGAGTGCCTGTATACTTAAATAATTATGTTAAGCAAGTTTTCAAATGTCTAAATTAAAACCTTTTACAGAGATTAATCAAAAAGCATATAGCCAGAGTATAGTCACTAATACACTCTCCTGAAAGGATGTCAACAGACAAGAATGTGCAAAGTTTGCAACAGAGTCATATACCACATAATAACTTTCCTGTCAACAATAGACCAAGTATACAATGAGGGCTCAGTTAAGATTATATGGAAAGGGAAGAATAAAAAAGTATAAAACTGATGAAGGTGCATTATGCATTATGTACCATTTTTCAAGATGAATATAGTTATTATGAAGCACAAAGTATAAAAATAATTTTTGAAACTTATATTGCCCATTGATTTATGACAGCCCAGCTCATGGACGCATAGTCTATGTTTCCACAACAAAATTGCTTAATAATACATCTCTCAGATGGGAACCCAATTACATGATTACTTGCTGACTGCTACTTTAACAATAAGCATTATCTGAGAGGGAGATAGCTCTGCAGCCTGGTAAGGTCAAGGACCTGGTTTCAATCCCCAGTACCACATCTCGTGCTGGCCCCAGAATCCTGGATATACTGTGCCCAGGCCACTGAAGCTAGGTGTGGGAGCACACACCTGTAATCCGAGTGCTGGGGAAGCTAAGACAGGATGATAACTATGAGTCAGACCTGAAGAGTGAGACCCTGTACCAAATAAATAAATAAATTTTTAACAAAAGAACTATCTGAAAAACAGCTAGAAATGTTACCACTACTCTTTTACATCCTCATGTACAAGGCTGGGCACCTAAGAATGAAAGCAATCAACAGAACCATCCAAACAAACATACAAAACAGTTGAATGACTATAACTTATTAAGTATATTAAAAACAAAACAACTAGTGTTTATATCTCTAAATGTGTCACTTAGTTTACATTAGTTCTCTGCTTGGTCTTGACATACTCACAAACTAAATAGTAGTAGAGTCTAATAACTTGTCCTATAGACTCTAAAAAAGAACAATTTGTATCTGTTCAGATTACTGAATATGAACTTTACTAATTGTAAAAGTACCTAATTGTGAGAATCAATTAACAGGAAGGCAGTAGATTCAGTTTTGTTAAGGTAAAGAAAGAAGAGCAGCACTTAACTGAATGTTTCAGGTTTTCCTTCAAATATGTATATTTATGTTTTTAGGAAAATAATAATGCTGGGCTAAAACACAAACCTGGAAATTTGCCACAAGAGAAGCTCCTAAACAACTCAGTATTCCAAGCACAAGGCCAGCCTTATTTAATTTGATGATAAGGTTCTCTTCAGGATTCAGGGCATGAACTTGTTTATAACGAACATAAATGGTAGCAAGGCCTGGGAACAGACAACCCAAAAAACAACAAAGTAATAAATAACAAGGGAATAAAATTGCCAAAGAAGTTCACAAAGGTCACTGCCATGCAGAGCATAGATTTTCCTTTCAAAGTTAATCTAAGAACACATAAACACACACAAATTCAATTTTAAAGACTATTTTAAAGGATATGTCTGCCTGAGCAATTTATCTGCCTTCCACTAGTCTCATATTTAAAAACACTGAGTATAAAATGTTAAAAGTAAGTTTGATATCTTCAGAAAATCTCTTACAAATATAAAGTAAAAATCAACCAATTCTAGAATCTGTATAAAATGTGCATAGGCAAAAAACTCCAGAACCTTACTTGCCTCACTTTCATGTAACTTTATTTCAAATTACTACAACTTGGCTTGATCAAACATAGCAGTCAAATTATAAAGAAGAAAAACAAATGACCACTTGACCATTTATTTGTCAAGAAAGGGCCAAAGCAAGCTTTTTAAGCAGAAATACTGCCAAAAAACTCAAACATATAAAAAATGTAACAAAGATATGCTTTTGTACACATTTCTGAAGAGGTTAGATAAAAGCCACATTTCTGTAAATTGAATCATAGTCCTGACTTCTGCTTCTGATATAGACAAATATATAGATGAAAGTGAATTATTTAGAAGAATCACATTTGATGAAGAAAATAATGAATCAATAAAAATTTGGTTCAAAAATAAATGAACAGTAATATAAAACCCTAAAGGTTCCTTTAACACTGGAGTATCACACAAAAATTAAAACACAGGTCTATCTCTATTCTTAAACTTCTAAACTAATAGAATTTAATGGTGGTCAGTTGTATCTATAGTCTTTGCTCCACTACAGATGGTTTATGAAGTCCACTTTAGGCCTCAAGGAGTATTTGGTTACATTTACAACTTCTATTTAAGTACTCAGCCCTACAGCTATTTCTTAAAGGTTTTAGCAGTTCTCTAATTTTCGTTCTCTAAAAAAAAAAAAAAAAAAAATTGTGATTACATTTGCTCAATTTCAAGTACAACTAAAACATAAGTAATACAATAGAGTTTAAAGAAGAAAGGAATTAACCTATTGATTTTGTTTGTTATAACCACTCCTATTTATTACTTACATAAAACTGCAGCAATGTTTAGCATTGCCCCAAACAAGCACTTCTCTGGAGCCACTGTCCCAGTGTCACTGAAAGAAAAAGAGAAAATACTTGAACTTTTTACAATATTCTTAGGAATAAGTAGTAAAAAGAATCATTTTGAATCACTTATCTTATAAAAAGCAACTGAGTTCTACTATTACTTCATTTTGTAACAAGAACTGGATAATCTGAATTCATAAATATTTGCCTATTTCACTTTTCCTGACACTGTAAGATTATTTCCTTCCCATGTAATAGAAATCAACATAAAAAAATTTATTTTGAAAAAGCTATCCCTGCTATATTATGATTGTATTACTAACTTACCATGAAAAATCTCAGGTATTTATATGTCTCTCTGGAATATTTCCTAAATAGCACAGTTCCCTTCACAATTCTTGCCTTTTTAAACCTGTTCACTCCATCTCTAAACAAACATCTGCTTATCTATTGATCAATTACGATAATATTTTTTAAGCACTACTGCCTTATGCCAGAATTTCTGAGACAGAAATACAGAGGAAAATAAAACAGACAAAACTCTGCCTGCATGGAGATGACATTCAAGACAAATATCATTCCTCTAGGAGACAGCGATTCAGTGCTTTGTCCAGGCTTCTGCCCACTTACCTACACTGGACTGCGATGTCTGTTTAGACGCTAGTCCTTCAAGACGCTAGGGAGTACTCAGACCCAGAAAGAAAAATCCACCACTTACTGTGGAGCCTTAGGCACATTCTCTTAGCTCCCTAAGACTATTCCTTTGTGTGCAAAGTAGAGATACTTATTTGCTCCCAGACACATTGGATAAAAATAAAGATGAAGTGAAATGTGTAATGTATGGAAAGTATCCAGTAAAGGTATCCATTAAATATTAGATACTGTCTCTTACTTCAATTATTATAGTGATAAAAAGACAAACTCTAAGGGCTGGAGAGGTAGCTTAGTGGCCTAAGCACCTGCCTGGTGAATGTAAGGTCCTGAGTTCAATCTCCAGTAGAAAAAAAATAAATAAATAAAAATAAAAATCTCTAAAAGACATTCTTTGGCCTTCAGGTGTTATGAGAATTAGATTAATCCAGGTCTCAGCTCAGACACTGCAATACTGTGAAAGGCAAAAAAATCTGTTCAAAGGGAAGAACAACTGGGATGAAGAAAAGGACAAAAGAAAGGAAAGGAAAAAGATGTATTTATGTATTTATACAGGATAGCTTGAAATATTGTACTGCTGATTTCTGCTGGTCTATTAAAACGAGCAGTTAATGCTTACATTTCTTCTCTTTAAAATTTTTATAACTTTTTTGACCAATTTTGCATGCTTATATCTGATAATCTGAACAACTAGAAGGGCACAACAGGTTCACTTCCAAGGGCTGCAGCAGGAAAGAGCTGAACATAACAGCTAGACCCAAAACAGGCATAACTGGATAAACTCAAAATTAATAGATCTGCACTCAAATTTCATGAGATGCCAAGGTTATAACTGCAACAAGAAGGTCAGAGGTCAGTGCTATACGAAGACAACAATATGCAGTATAACAACCGTTGTCGAATTCCTATGATTTTGTTTAGTGAAATTCTGTATTATTTCTTTTTTGGCACTTTTTTTTTTGGTGTTGTTGTTGTTGTTGTTGTTGTTGTTGTTGTTGGAACCAGATATTGAACTCAGGCCCTTGCACTTGCCAGGCAAGCACTTACTCTACTGAGTCACCTCCCCAGCCCCTCTGTATCATTTCTAATGTTTTTCTTTTAAACATTTTATTCTCTTTTAAAAAAGAATAAAAAGGAAATAAAGTCATGCCTAGCAAGAAATAGGATTAGGTAAACACCTGGATTAGGGGTTTAAGAAAGGACATTATCAGGTCAGCAAGATAGCTCAGTGGTCTAAAGCACCTGCTTAGGCAAGCTTAGGCAAAAGTGCAGGGACCACAGTTCAATCCCTAGCACCACATGGCACATCTGTCCCAGCCCCAGAGTGGGCTAAACCAGCCACCCAAATAAAAACAGACATTATCTAACATGAATTCTAAGTATTGTTCCTTCCAACTTTACAATTCCATCACTCTGAAGAAAATAAAATTTTATTTATTTATAAGTAATAATTTATAGTAAAAATGAACAAAAAATAATATATTGAACAAAAAACCTTATAAAACAATATAATGTATCTTTTATAAGCAAGAGATTTTTGTTATTTGATTACTGTCTTTAGGAATGGGAATAAGGAGTCCTTGTTCCTATACTTTACCTTTAAAATTGTCTATAATGTATCTTTATTATTAATATAAGAAAAAGTAATTTTAAAACAGTAGCTGTACTCCAAATGATGCTCCTGTTTTGGATTGTCCCCCAAATAACTAACAGCAAGCATTTCCAAGCTGACTGGCTCAACCATATATTGCAACTGCATATATGGCTTGAAAAGAAAATGATATCAACTGGGCTAACAATGAAAACAGCTATGCACAATACCTTATTAGCACTGAACTTTAATCAAACTATTTAAGTTATACACTAATGTAAAAAGTCTATAACTTCAAAATATATGTATGTACATTATTACTATCTGATAGGTAAAGAATCAGTAAAGCTTAAGGATTTTTCATGTAAGAAATAAACATACATATTCTAGCATTTTTTTCTGGTGTACTGGCAGCACATCTTCTGCACCTTACTTAGATATCTACCACTTGAACTAGCTTTAAAAAAAAAAAAGTATAAAGCATACTGGCAACAAAATTCGATTTTGCAGTGAAGTTTATATTTAGTTCTGTCCTTCGTAGCTATACTAGCTAAACCTCTTGAATAAGATCTATTAACTGAAAAAAAAAAAAAAAGCAACTTTGCAGGATATCTAGCTTAATTATTTTGAATATGAAAGGACCCTGAATACAATGTCGCTTCTAACTGCCAGAAAAAAGAGAAAACCCTAAGCAAGAAATTGCTTGAGATCAACAAGTTATTACTTTATATAAATGGAACAAAATTAAGAAAAAAAATTAAAAGAGTAGGAGGAGGAAAAAGGTGAAAAAAAGAAAAGTTTTATATAAATATAGATGACAAAATAAACCAATTTCTGGAAGGAAACCTACCAAACCATCAGTCATCTCTGGGGGCAGAAACTGGAAGGCTCAGGAAGAAACTTTCATTTTTATTTCTATCAGCACTCTGGTATTGTTTAGAATTTATTCTAATAATTAACTCATTAACGTTATAATTAAAAAGGGCTATAAAACAAATACCCATATTGCCCTCCCATCCAGCCCAAGCTCAGGCCCAGCAAGGGTGGGGTAAGCTCCTGCGTTCCCCTGCACTGGTTGGATCTCCTGGATCAAGCGCAGGCCAGCCCCATGAGTGCGTCCTTCCTCCATATTCTCAGGACCCTTTCGGCCCCTCTCTCTCCCTCTCTTGTTAAAACCTCCATCTCTCCCATCCAGCCCAACCTCAGGCCCAGCAAGTGTGGGAGTGAGCTCCTGTGCTCCCCTGTGCTGGTTGGATCTCCCCAGATCAAGCCCAAGCTAGCTCCTGACATGAAGGCCTCCACAGCTCCTGCCCCCAAGCCCACCTAGTGAGAACTTCTGCTACACTCTCAGGACCCCCAGATCCAGCCCAGCCCAGACCCAGAGAGTGTGCAGGAAAGCGTCATGCATCCCTGCGCCCACGGAACCTCTTCAGACCAAAACCCAGGCACGCCACGTGAGACCCTCTGCCCTGCCCTCTGGACCCCTCCACCCAATGGAGCCCCTATCCCCAAGCCCACTGAGAACTTCTCCGACGCTCTTGGGACTACCAGATCCAGCCCAAGCCCAGGCCCAGCTAGTGTGTGGGAGAGCTTATGCGCTCCCCTGTGTCCCCTGGGACAGGGGCACAACAGAGGGGCACCACAGGTTCACTTCCAAGGGCTGCAGCAGGAAGGAGCTGAACACAACAACTAGATCCAAAACAAGCATAACTGGATAAACGCAAAATTAATAGATCTGCACTCAAATTTCGTGAGGTGCCAAGGTTATAACTGCAACAAAGCTCTACACCAAAGGTCAGAGGTCAGTGCTATACAAAATGACAGGCAAGGAGTAAAATGGAATGTCAGTCCTCCAGCCCACGCAGAACAAGTGCAGAGGTCACTAGCTCAGCTGAAATGTATGAATTAGTAGCGTTGGAAGTAAAGAAACAACAGCAGAAAGGTATAGAGGAACTCAGAGCAGAATAAATTGCTGGAAAAAAAAATCT